CTCCTTATCTCTCACAGTAAATAAACTCCGTTTATCACGGTGACGTCTGAAGAAATCTTATTTATAGTGACCCATTCATTACTCCTTTGTAAGACTTGGAACAAATAAACATTTCATGCACAACAAAGAACAAAAACAGGTCCAACGAGAAACAACGACGTTCAACAAACAGCACATCTGCCAGTTCACACAGTTCTGGAGAGACGGTCAAGACAATCGAATTTGCTGCTTCGTCGGCGCGCGGCGACGAGTGCGGCGTTTTCTTGATTTGCATTAGCCTGTTCACTGGAGCACTGCATTTCATGTAGACTGCGACATCGTAGACATTCATAGCTTCTTTTGGTTATACATTTTCTACAGTTGCTACCTAGGAGATCGTCGTTTGCTGGCGCGCCGTCGCACGCGGCGCCCAGCAGGTGGCGAATTAGGATTGTCTTGTCACATACCCACAGTTCTGTCACTGAACTTTTTGATGACAATTCAATCATTATCATTATTCTTCCAAAAAGAAATCAGTCTTCATCTTCACTATCATCCTCTTTGTTGCTCAATAACTGCCTCTTTCTCGAAGTGTTCATGAATGATCGTAACACCCACTCATCTTCTGCTGCCGCTATATTCTCCAATGTTCCCAGTTTTATTGCATACGCTGAAACATTCACAAAATATTTCCCCTTTGGTGAAACCTTGAAGCGTGGCCCTTTATAAGACCACATTGCAAAACGAAAACTCCAAGACATCACTCACGCCGTAGTTCAAACCGTGGCCCAACCTCCTTTAACTCGATTTCTCCACCTTGCGCTACCTATAGAGGAAAAATTACACTCCTGGCCTACTGAAAACTGGACAGTAACCTACCGTATACGTATGATGACGGAACGAAATGAAATCGTCGGTGTTAGCAAAGGTTATCACCCTTTTCGAGCTTTCCTTTGGCACAGGAAATAGATATTTCAGAATAGAAGTGAACTGTAAATAACGTTTTTTAAAGACAACTGTACCCTCTCACCGCCAATGGCGGTCCCTTTTCCAAGTGCGAGGTTTCTGGATCCGCAGCTGCAGTAGTATGGCGCTTTCTTCGGTCCAAAAGCACGAGAACGGGGCAGGAGGGTAGTGCTATGCGAGTGTCATTTGCAACCCCGTCTGCGCTATCTTCAAAGTGCAACACTTGCGGCAGTATCGAAGTCCCGCAGCGAAAAACAATTAGCGGTAGAGAACAACCAGAAGTGAGATAGCGCAAACAACTAGCACGTTTGGCTATGGTTAGGCAAGTGACTGGCCGTGTAGAAGCGAAGGCGGAGCATGGAGACACCCAGGTATTATTACCCTCCAGCCCCGCTCCCGTAAATTTTAATGGAGGAAGTGGCACATTACTTTATCTGCGAGTCCCTTCATTCCACCTTGCAAAGGGCACGATTCACGGAGGTGAGAGTACAATTACAGTCTTTAACGAGTGACAACTAAAAGCATTCACATGAAATGTAACATACCCTTTGACCTAATCTGCTGCCCAAATTGTGGAAAATAAGGTGAGGATATTGCTCGCTCATTTTTTCTCTGTCAGGGATGTCATGACGCATCACGACATTGGACAGCGTGAAATAAGCTGTTGGACCAAACGGTAGATGGCACACGACCATGCCATCAGGATTTCCACGAGTCTCAGTCAAAATTATGAAGTCTGTCACCTAAATAAATTATAAAAAAGTATGAGAATCGCCATGAAACTGAACCATTCACTCACGTCATTTGCTCGACAAGCTTGCACAAGTTGTTTTACGTCGTAGTGACCTCTGTTCAATCGCTGAGCATTAGGAAAAACCAGCTTCATCTCCTAAAGCACAATTAATGCAAAAGCTCCCAATACCTCCAGTCTTGTTCGCTGCGCCGTAGGGCGTGCAAGTGCGGAAGGGTTTGGCGCGGTGCCAACCCGTTTTTCTTCGGCACACGGCAATCTTTCGTGCCAGTCGCTTCCCACCAACTGTTGTCGCTTACCCGCTTCAACAGCTAGTGGAAAACGGGCTGGCAACGCACCAAATCCATACACACTGCCACGCCCCATCATCCGCAGCAAACAAAACTGTAATGAAGGTGTGAAAAATAAACAGGCCTTCGAACTTACCTTCACGAAAACTTTTAACTTGCTTGATGGCTCACGACTAGTAGTAATGACAATTTTGGGATCTTTCGTACCTGCCCACCGATATTCGTCATCAATAGACATTATCTGCAATGTAAGCCTAACGGCAAGGATAACAATGTCAATGAAAAAATAACTCATATACCTGTCCTCCCCATTCGGCACCGTTAGCAAGTTCAATAGCATCCTTTCGTAATGAGGTGTCAATTTTCCTGAATCGACAACATTAATCTACTGTGCCAACAGTGGACTGTTCGGCCTTTCACTTTCGAACGTTTCAACGCATTTTACTTCCGTATTTGATTAGTACAATATGGACACATTACGATGGTGAGGAAAATCGTTCCTTCTGCTTTATCAAAAAAACTAAAATCGGTCCTTCTGCTTCATCAAAAAAAACTGAGTCTGGAACGACTTCTTTAAATGTAAAAACCCAACTGCACCGCCTCCTTTTTCTCTTCCCAGTCTTCCGGAATGGAGCCAGTCGTGTATATTATCTCAAGGACAGTGAAAAAGCTCGAACAATCCCCATCAATTCTAAAACCCCATCTCTACCACTTGAATACGACCTCCTCGTTGAGAACCCTCCCCCCGCCCCGCTTATGATCCCCAGGTACAGTGATCTGCAAGGGTGTGTGGCGGCTGGAAGTGTAGAAACCTGTTGGCCCGAACAAAAAGAGGACTCGACTGGCATGGACGTGATGTGATCCCTAGACCAAGAGTGCGGTTTAGGCGATAGTTCCTACTGCAGCACCTCCACCTAAATCGATTGTAGTATACAGTTCCATGAATCACTCGATTTGGAAACACTTACCGTGCTTAACCTCGTTTTTAAAAAATCCCATCCCAATCATCAAACATCAGGCCCTACGCAGGATTGGGCATAACTGACTCACTCAGAAGTCCCTCCTTCGCTAGGCTGAGGTCATTCGCGACTAAACGATCGTGGACCATGGGATGAAATGCTCCTATTTCTGGCCCACACTCTTTTCATCGCGACGTCGTCCACCTTTCCTCTGATGGAAGAAATGTTCACAACATCGTAGTACCACAGTGTTAATCTCTGCACCGAAATGCCGGCTAATGCCGTTTGGACTCCAGAAATTTCGGCTCCGAGCTCATTTTCAAATTGCCTAAGCCACCAAATCCACTAAAAACTTGTATATAGGGGTAATTCAACATCCTGATTACGAGTATGACACTCATTCTTGGCGCTGGCGCCAAGAGAGGACACTACGATTACCTCCTGGGCTCAGCCTTAGCAGAGCGCAGGTAACCGTAGTGTCATCCATTAGCGCCAGCGCCAAAAATGAATGTCATATTCGTGATCAGGATGTTGAATTACCCTATATACAAGTTTTTAGCGGATTTGGTGATCTTGCCACTTTTAAAATGAGCTCGGAGCCGAAATTTCTGGAGTCCAAACGGCATTAGCCCGAACATGCCCCACCTTCTTGAAATAGCGCCTAGGGTCATGAAAAGATGGTTTAGAAACAAATTGATTAAAAGCTAGTAACACGCAGTGGCTGAATTATAACATTTGCCTCAAGGTGGTAACATTGGACCAAACAAAAACAACTCACTTGTTATTTTCTAGAGCATCCTTGATTTTTTCCCTTTTCTCTTCAACGGCTCGTTGCCTTTCCTCCAAGCTTTTACGATAGATGTATTCCCTACGGAGACGATTCTCTCGGCGAATCATCACTGAAAGACCTCATTGGTTAGCATTCTGCTTAAAAAGAGAAACATGAAAGTTAAGCGAAAGAAAAAAGGAACAGCTCAGAAATCATAAAAATGGCAATGGTAAAAAGTGCGCTCTATTTTCAGTGGCAGGACAGCTCGTCCACATCGCTTTATCGCGCGGCAACACTTGATGATTTTGCTTATATTTTTGTTTTCATTCTTTTTCTTACATTTATAACGGTTGCAACGTTTCAGTTAAAGAAATCAGGGACGACAGTTCTTATATATTTACAGGCACGTAAAGAATCCTCAAAAATGGGATTTTCGACTTATTAGCAAAAATTGCAAATGGGCATTTAATATGCTGTAGCGGGCTATTTCGCTATTTTGCCTCATTATAGTTGCAAAAAAGAGTTTTCTCTGAGTTTCTCATGAGGTTCTGACCTGCCTATTATAATGGATGCCTGTTTTTCTGTTTACTTTGCTGGGAGTAGGCTTTTGTTTTAGAGACGCTACTGAGACTTAAGCTAAGTAACTAGAGGTTTCTTTGGGCCTAAATAGGTTAGTGCCTGCGCTTCCTTCGTATTTTCTGCGTTCCATTTTCCTTACAAGTTGCACCTTCCTTTCTTGCTGTATTG